ACCAATGCCTCAATTAAACAATCAAAAATATACAGCACTGCCACATACATGAAATGCAACTCACAGACTGAATGGCTAGACGCTGCCCCAACTCAAAGACCTAACCACAAAAAACAACTGTTAACATTTATACTACAAGCAATGTTTTAAAAATGTCTTAAAAGACTGCTCATACAAGTGCCTAAGTGTTTCTGCATCCCTTCACTTCCACAGTAAAGCCTTGTCACTTACCTGACATAACCTCCCTGGAAAATAAGCACTTCCTCTAACTCGGAAGACATCATCAACATAAACATATAAGGTCTGAAATTTAGATCATGTGGAAATATGTGCAGTGTTTTGTTTTAATACACTGATTGACTTAACTTCACTTGGAACATTTTAAAAAGTTAGACGTGGTAGAGTCATTAAGTTCGTGGAATGTGGTTTTATCGCATCATATTACAAGATATTCACATACACTTATGCAGATCCACATTGACCCTCAAAATAGTTGCCGTTGGCCGCTATGCAAGTCTGCCAACATTGATATAGCTGTCGAAAACATTGCTGAAACACATTGGCAGTAAATTCCCATACGGCGCTTTGTGGCCATTCCAAGAACTTATTGACTGTGGTAGTATGTACATATGAGTTGAAAATTATTTTTCAAATAAATATATCACCATGGTGAAACTGTGAAGCACTGTGTAAGGTTATGATATAAATCCTGAAAAAGAAGACATGAAACAATACGTGCTGCAGTTTCTGTCATCTCTTCAATGAATACCAGAAAAACAAGGCAAAGTACTACACGATCTACAAAAACATATTACAATATTAGCATTATTTTAGTAAATATTCTGGCTGATTCTTTCATTATTTAACAATGCTGATTAAAATGCAATAATTTTTTTAAATGTGACACATTCATGAAGAAATTATAAGCAGATTAAATTTGGGAAATGTTTGCTACCATTCAATTCTAAGCCTTTTGTGTTCTCATCTGCTATCCAAGGATGTAATAATTAAAGTACACACAACAATGAAATTGCCTATAGTTTTGTATGGGTATGAAACTTAGTGTTTCACATTAAGGGAAGCATACAGAATGCTAAGGTGAATATTCAGACCTACAGTAAAGTAAAGGAAATATGTTTACAATTCCATTCATATGGTTTAATAATAACATTATATTTTAATTTTAAAAATAAGGAAAACTTTCATAAATACTACCTATTGGCAAAAGGTTATATTTTAGTGACTTTTTCAACTTTGGCTGCCAGCAGCAACTTCAAATAATGCTATTTATATGCAGTGTGTTAATTGGAAGTATAAAACTGTTCAAATAACTAATCTGTCAGTCCTTTACAACTTACATGGCTATAGTAAAATGTAACTAATATAATATAAATTCAAAATCCAACAGATGTGATCATTAGGTTTCCATAAATATTATTAATTCACTGTAATATATAGAAATCTACTGCCCATGAACTCTTCCATACATGGAAATTATTATTTGCTGGTACTGATTCAATTTCACAGAAATATGGAACATAAAACCGGTACACAAGAACAATCAGGAAGTTGGAATTATGTTAAAAGTTGCCAATAAATTGGTCACAGCCTGTTCTTGTAAGATGTGAGGTTTTTGCAGCGGTGGTTATGAAGAGTTCTATTTTCTGGGATATTATGCCATACAGTCTGTTGACGACAGACTGAAGTTTCATAGGAACACCAGCTGACTTTCAACAAACTACACAGCATTATATCCCAGAAGACAGAGCTCTTCACAGTCTGTTCTTGTTCAGGTTCCCTATGTCTTTACATCACGAAGAATAAAAAAAAAGAATAAATAAAAAATGAGCACTTTCAGTTGATGCTGACAACATTGCAGTAGCTCACCACTGTCTGTAGCCAAACAACTGATGCCAATCCTGGTATAATCCTCAACTTCTCCTCTCTGTATGCAACAATCACTCACAAAATTTTTCAAGGTCCATCCCAAGCAAATAATAAAGCCATGTAACTGAGACATGAGGTTCACATGGTGAGTATAAAGACAGCCATGATGCCATGTAGTCTGGTACCAATGTTTTGGAGGAACCTTTTGCCTCAGTCTTCAAGACGCTCTGAAGATGGAAGCAGCAGTTTGCCCCGAAACTTTCAAAATGTCCCACCAAACTTCATGGTGTCATGTCTTAGAAGACAGCAGTCTTGAAAGATCACATAAATTTATCATGTTACAAATTTTGAATACAGAAAACAGATCAAAATTACTTAAAACTGACAGATTAATGACAAGCACAGAAACTGCAACAACACAATTCAAAATACAAATCTTGATCCTTGAAATGGTTTCCATGGTGGCATACACAATTTTTTTTTTCATTGGCACTACAGCCCTCATTTGGGCCTAGGCCTACCTCCATGAAACTCACACACAAATTTACATTAAACAAAATCCTCTACAAATGAAGACATGATTGGAAACCTAAAATTTCTTTATAGTCACAGGCAAAGGTGGCTGAAACCTTATTCAGGCATGTAACATTTTGCACCAAAAGTTTACATGATCACCATAAGCTGTGATTCTCTGATTTTATGGTGATACAATGCAATAATAAGGGTAATAAGTTGCAGGACAGCTCAATTTAATTCTTGTGCTTCAGAAGCTCCTTACGGTTATATCATCAGAAATGATGTGTGAGCTGGACAGTTGCCAGACATCAGAATCTTAAATCAGCAAATAATATTTTTACACTGTTGGCTTCTACATACAAAATCTCTGTAGGAGCTTGATGTAAAGATAGAGTGCTTTCTGCTTTTCAGTGTACTTTAAATGCTTTCACTGTTATGCACAGAACAAGCCTGACACACAGAAAAGTGGGCTGTGCTTCATGAACAGACTTTTCCATCAAATATATAGCATGTTGTGATACTATTCATTTCGATGAATTAACAGCCAAACAAAATGTTATAAATCAACGTTTCAGACAAAAATAAAGTTTTAAAGATAAAATGTGAATTATATTTATAAGCACAGGAATAAAATAGCATATTTATGGCTAATCTGTGCCAATCTGATTCATGTTTAAAATAATTACTTTCTTATTGCCTTTTGAATGCAAAAGTTAATAACCTCAACATTACCTTTCATCCATTTAAGACTTTCCTCAGTTCAGTGTTCAAATCTGTTCCTTCTAAAAGAAACTTTAAATGGAGGTTCTAAACCAGTCACATTTATTTCTCACAACAAAAATCAGAAATCATTTCTATGAATCTCGCCCACATCATGAATCCACATATATGGAAACCATTCCAAGGATCACAACAAGCAACATGAGCTGTGCACACTATATACACACAGAAGGGTGACCAAAGCATGGAACATGACAGAGAAAAAACACTGTCAGTGCCACAGTAATATGACAGTTAAAATCATGAGTTTAACTCCTGGCTGGATTTGAGGTTATCACAGCAAATGACCATGAAAGACATTACCTTCCGGGAAGTGAAGCTGTGTAGTCTGGTACAAGTTCAAGCCAAAGTTTTGGAGGAACATACTGCCTCCATCTTCAGTTTCAAAGAGTAAGTGATGTAAGCATGACTTACTCTTCATCCCTGAGGATGGAGGCAGCATGTTCCTCTGAAACATCAGTGAATTTCTACTGGACTATATGATGCCACATTCAGAAAACAGTACTCTTCTTAAATCCTGATCTTACATGGGTGTAGTAAAAGTAAAGCTATCCCTGTACCAGGCCGTGAAGGCCCATAGGGTTGTGACGTTGAGGCTCCCACATTATCTAGACAATCAGCTCAAAGATGGCGGTAAGGCTGTCAGCCTTATGCACCGGCCGTGCTTTACTCCACAAGAAAATTATTTAATTAATTCCTGGTACTCATTCCTGTTAGAGGCTGAGTGAACACCAGGGTCATAGTGCGGCTGGAAACATGGGTGTAGACCTATGTAAATTTGTACACAGTCCAATACATTGAACTGAATTAAGGAAAATTTATTCCTGAATGTTTCTGACAAACCTACATCACAGTTTTAGCATCCTGGATAGGGTTTCTTCCCACTGGATAGCAACAAGTTCTGCACCCTGACATATGCCACTGAAGGGTGTACTAACCCTAGTCTCAATCACTTGATCACTGGACCAGTACCTGATAAGAGAAAAAGTTCCCGTTTTCCAGTTTTTCTGTGGTCTAGTAGTCACAGAGTTCCTGGCTACAGATCCAGAGATCCTGGGTTTGATTCCTGGCGCTACCAGACTTTCTGAGAAGTAGTGGGTCTGGAACGGGGTCCACTCAGCCTCATGAGGATAATTGAGGAGCTGCATGAATGGAAAAGTAGCGACTCCGGTCTAGAAATCCGAGATTAACGGCACTGGGGATCCGTTGCTCTGACCACGTGACACCCTCTGTCCGCAAAAGTTAACACTAACTTCACCGACAAGCGGCAGTTGTTTGGTCGGGATAGTTCACTTACGTACTAGTTCCTATGTGGTTTACAACTCACAATATGGAAAAGATTAGATATACGAATGTTCAAAGTAGCCGATACAATGTCAATCATTTCCACTACTTTGGTCGTATCCATAAAATGTGGGTCATTAACCCTTTAAAGCACTGCAGTTATCATACATACCGCCCGTTTTAATGTATAAACTGTTCTCAGAATAAACAGAGATCATTTCTCCAAAAAACATTACACACGTGATCTGTTTAATGGAAACGCAGTGTACTTTCTGTGAGATAAATATTATTAAGACAAATTTCAGGCTTCAAGGAATTGGCCAGCTGACCTGAGAGAGGGGTAACAAGGATTTATCTATGGACAAGCCCTCTCCACGTCACAAAGAATACTACAGCAAATTAGCTTATAGAATCAAATATAATTCTGACTGCTAATATTATGTAAATAAAAAAAAATGTCAGGCTTCAAAGGGTTAACTTGTTATCTGTGCACAGCTCAAAATGGATAACAAAATAAAAGGTATACTACTCACCCATGACTTGAACTTCAAGAGTACCACGTGCGCTGTAACCCTGTGCATTACGCGCAACACAGGTGTATGTAGCTTGGTCAGATAGCCGTTCCACATTTTCAATAATAAGAGTTCCGTTGGGAAAAACTTTCTGCTTCCTGTTGATCGGCAGCACACGGCCATCTGCGCACACAGGTTCCAACTGCTGTTAAGTTAGCTAATACACTGTCAGCTACGCCAGGCATGGGAATCCAAACCCTCTATTTGGATGTTTTCAAATGATAGCACATTGAAATAGCCTGAATTTTCAACGACCACATTAAATTTATGATTTGTGTTCTTTGACAAGGAAACAGAATATTCTGAATTGGCTAACAAATTGTCTACATAAAATGAAATTTCACAAACCTCTCTCCCAGACAATAGTTTCTATAGGATAACCAGCAACAGGACATGTGACGATCAACGTCTCTCCTGCAACAATAGCCTTCTTCTCCATGGGACGGATGAATGGCAGACCAAACACGTTCAGTTTGGCAGCATGTTCAACTGAGCCAACTTTGGATGATGCGATACACTTGTACAGTCCCCCATCATTGGTATGGATTGATGAGATGTTGAGATGCGAGACAACATCGCCATTCACTGTCACGTATTGGCCAACCTGCAATCTGTGTAATGAAAAGACATCTGCTATAGAACATTTATGAATTAGACCACAGTGACATCATTTCAAATGCAAAGGTAACACGGTGTTGAATGCAACAGAAAGAACGGTACAGCAAAGTTAAAGTATCTGCTTACCGGTCACTGTTAGACAACTTCTTCCCATCAAGTTCCCATGTTATCTCTGGTGTGGGGTTACCTAATGCAATACACTTCAAGAACACTGACGGACCTGGCTGAAGGGTTTCTTCTTTGAATGCCTGTCGGATCTGTGGAGGTTCAACTGTAACAGGAAGTGTTTCAAAGGTAGATTACATATAAACATAAACTTCATGATCAAAACAGTGTAGGAATTTTAAGAAATTACAGGTACAAGGTGAGCATCTATCAGCGTCCAGCGACGGCTTGTGCTGAACAGGCACATTCAGACCTGTGGCTCTGACCTTCCATGTCTCTCTGTTAAACATCAACGGTTGAGAAGTTGCAGTATAGTAGTTTGATTCTATCTGCAGTTCTTGTTCCGTCAGGAGACAGCTCTCACAGCACTCACATACACTGTCTCCCACTGTTATCACTGGGATTCACAAGTTACCAGCCCTAAAAGAACGCATTTCACTTTCTACTGCAAATATGGCGGCAGTAGGTTGAGACACTATGCTATAAGCCAGAAGGTTGCAGGTTCGAGTCCCAATGAGGTGAATTTTTTTAATTTACCTACTCCTTCCAGTCACACTATGGCCCTGTGGTCAACTCAGACTTTAACAGAATGAGTACCAGGAATCTTCCTGAGGGTGTAAAGGGCAGCCGGTGCATAAGGCTGACAACCTCACCGCCATCTGTGAGCTGACTGTCTAGAAAATGTGAGAGCCTTGACCTCTCACAACCTTATGGGCCTCCATGGCCTGTTACAGGGATAGCTTTACCTTACCTTTTTTACTGCAAATATGATATGAACAGTAATGAAACAAGTTTGATTTGAGGCTGTTATGACTATGAACAGTATCACACATTGCTTCATGCTTATTGCTTAGCTCACTCTTTGAACCTGAAGATGGAGGCAGTATGTGTCTCTGAAACACCTGTGGGCCTATATTGGACTATGTGACATTACTTCCCAGATGATAGTACTCTTCAGTAATGTAACAGCTTTCAGTTACATGTTGCTATACTTNACTTAGCTCACTCTTCAAACCTGAAGATGGAGGCAGTATGTGTCTCTGAAACACCTGTGGCCCTATATTGGACTATGTGACATTACTTCCCAGATTACTCTTCAGTAATGTAACAGCTTTCAGTTACATGTTGCTATACTTAGTTACAATACTCACAATATAGATTTCTGAAATGTAGCAACATTATTCTGAAACACTTCATTCTTTGAGGAAAAGAAACGCCACTGAAATATCAGTAGTGCAGGGTCATGAAGGAATGACACTAGACAAAGCCAACATGGCCCCTGTTCTTGCCTGGTATCCTACCAAAGGAGAGACTGTTTCACTCAAACCTGCAATATATTGTACAAGTCTAAGCATGGCTACCATTATAGTTTCTCAGACATTGAAGTTAAAAATTTTATTTTAAAAATTTGCCTCTTGGACAAAACAATTCCCTTTCACAAGATGTCACTTGAATTTCTAGTCTTTTCTAACTAAAAAATTTTAATTTATGGTTTTAATTTTAGACTTATACAGGTATCCCCCAACTTATATGATAGTCATCTCACAACTTCAACTTTTTATTATTCCATTGTTTTCATATGTTCTGATCTTCATTCAGCATTCATTTTAGTTTTATGAATCCTAATTTCTTTTATTTCAGACAAATTGTGTCCTTGTGTCACTGAATAAATGAATTAAAAGAATCATACAAAAAACCTTAACACAAAATTCATGTGTAAATAACTCACATCGTCCACCCAGTTTCAGTTCTGCGCTAGCCTGCGCATTCTCCTGGTCGTTGCGAATAAAGCACTGATACATCCCTTTATCTTCCTTCTTCACTGACTCAATCCTCAGCACTGAGTCCTCATGACTCAGAGACTTCCCATCTTTAAGCCAGCTGATCATCTTGATAGGGTTACCTTCAAAGTTACATGTGAACACAGCAGGGCGACCAAAGTCAACTGTCTGCGTTGTGGGCTCGATGTTAGCTGCAAGTGGGGCTGCAAGATTAACAGAGAACCACATTTAAATTGAGGGTTTTGTACTGCAAAATCACATAAAACACACTGCCTCTGTTTAACCTCCTATCATAAAGAATCTATAATTCCTTTTGAGGCACAAATATTTCTTTACTCAATTCTACTGTGAGATATGGTTATGAGAGGCCACTATTTATGTAGCAGCAAAGCTGATCTATGCATGAAGATGAGACAAGATCTTTTTGTAATAGCACTCCCTCAGCACAGACATGTGTAACTAGAGATGAAATTATAAGATTTGAGGTTTTCTCGGCGGTGATTATGAAGAAAGCAGTCTTCTGGGATTTGGCACCGTGTGTATGTGGTGTTAACCACAGACTCTGCTTTTACCGGTTTTCACGGTCTCTTTGCTTGCGGATTTCTTACATTTTTCCTTCTACCCTGAAGATGGAGGCGATACGTTCCTCCGAAACGTCGGTTAACACCACATATACACGGTGCCAAATCCCAGAAGACTGCTTTCTTCAGAGATGAAATTATTTGTAAACATGAAAGTGCAAAGAGATTTGGGGCTCTCATGGTGGGGACTATGAAGATTAAGTCTCCTGAAATGTGACACCATGAAGTACGGCATACATTTAGCAACATTTCAGAGGAACCTGCTGCTTAAGGAAGCTGGGATGTCCAAAATGGTGACGCCCATCTACTAAACTATACAGCGTTACATCCGATAAGATGGTAATCTCAAAGCAAGTAAATTATTAATACTAGTACTGCATTAACATAAATTTTATTACTGTTATCATTCATTCATTCATTCATTCACCAATTCATGGTGATATGTGGATTTGAAGCTAGGGATAAGATGCCTGTCCTATGTGCATACGACAATTGTGATAAAATGTGTTGAACTGGTGCTATGCAAGCACGCGCACACACACACAAATGTACTTCGTAGATTGTGTCTAAAATATCTCTGAGGGTTAAGTTATCATTGACTAGAGATGCAGATTATTATGTCATTATTATAATGTTACTACACATAATGGGAGCCACACCACCATAACGGTGATCCTGTTCAATACACAGGGATTTTCTTCCATTAGGTTGCATACTAGAGATATGATATACCCTCAAAAGTGTTTTCGACAAAAAATAATACTGCTGTTATTTACCCTCACACATTATAACTAAAAAATTATAATTTAAATTTATTTATTTATCATCATGACCTTACAACTATCACAATAGTCATCCTGAAAGCCAGACTGTGCCCGACGGATACAACTTCCAAGTCATATGTTGCATACCTGTGACAGTGAGGACAGTCTCAACGCTCTCACCCCCAACGGAATTGTTCACCACGCACAGGTATTTCCCAGAATCCTCTACTCTGGCTTCCTTGATGATGAGCGTGCCACTCACTTGCTTCACTCTGTCATCGAGTGTCACAGCTTGTTTGCGCATTGTACCATCAACAAACTTGTACCACCTGCAACAATTAACAAATACCGATTCATTTATATAAGCTGAATAACAATTCAAGTGTCAAAAGTATGCACAATTCCACAGGGTGTCCTTACAACCTGTTTCCTTCAGTTCATACTTTCGCAGGATATTTATTTGAAATATGCTGACACACAAACACCAAACAGATTTAAAAGACTTTGGGTTTTCATGGTGGGTGAAGATTCAAATTGTAGTTTTCAAAGTAGTTTTGAAGGTGGTTAGAAATGTTTCAGAGGAATGTGAAGTCTCCATGAGTCTGAAGTGACTTAAGTCTTCTCAGCCATGCAAAAGCTGATTCATTATCTAAAGTTTCAGAGAATGTTTGTGTCTTCATCCACCCCTAAAATGATGGGACACTGCTGATTGCCTGAGAAGACTTCAGTGTTTACTGTTTCCACCTTCACCTGAAGGGCATGTTTCTCCAAAACGTTGGTACCCACCTATGACACTACAAGATGTCATACCCCACAAGAGAGCAACACAAACCCATTGGATAAATTTTAGAAATTATATAAAAGAAAATGGTGTATGGCTTGTGAAAAATTTCACCTGATAATTTAAATTCTGAATTTCACATTAAGTGCCAACGCACCAGTACAACAATATGTCATAGTGGCACAATGTATTCCAACAGAGTACAACTACTGTTTGAATGCATTCTTCAGAATTTTGAGCAAATTCCTGGCCCTTATCTCTTAGCTGATCCCACTGAATTATAATGAAACATTTGTCGAGTTTTGCGATGAGGGTGTGTGCAGCCATTACCTCAGTGCCACATTTCACTTGCCTATTTACGCAACTCATGTCAGTCTGCATAATATCATCAAAAGGTACATTTCTTCTAAGTTGAGTCATTACATTTATGTTCTCTTAAGTGAAGCACTAATTAAAAATTAAAACTGAACTTTCTCATCTGTTTTTCCTTTTTGCTTATGATATATTTGTTTCCATCTTAATGTTGTAATGTGATGATATTCATTAACTGCACATACAAATCTTTTACAAAGTAATATTTTCTTAGTGAGAAGGTTACCATCCAATGATATGAACATATGAAATCAGAACAGGCTTCTTGCCTATACCATAAAGTGAGGAACACACACTGGCTGCTGTAAAGCTTATAAATGCTATATATATATATATATATATATATGAATGTGAGACATAAAGTATGTTTCCTTGAATTACATATTACTCTGAAAAATGTTTCAATAACAGATGTAAACCTAACAGTTACTTTTCTGTGTGTCTTACTACATAAGGTCATGTGGTAGGATGGTCAATGAATAATGAATTGGAAAGAGACCATGGAAGGAAACGGTCAGGCCTAACTTAGGGTACTATAATGATATCTGCCTGGACATACTGTGAAAAACCATGAGAAACCTCAGTCAGAACAGTCGATGTTACAATCAAGATTCAAACCAGGTACCTCCCAGATACAAGTAAGAAATGTTACTGCATAAGCTAACTTGCTCTATTTATGAAATCAGATTTGAATTTTATGTCAAATAAGTTCTACATTGAGCCAATATAAACCTAAAATCAAATTCGACAACTTTTCCTAACAGACACCATGCCAACATTTATCAAAATTCAACAAGAAATGTTTTTAATAACACGTGTTTGATCTGATAACTTCAAGACAGTATCGCAATTACAGTCTTCTGAGATGTGGTGAGGTTTAGTTTGGTAGCAACAGTCTGTAGAAACCTGGTGCCCCCATCTATAGTGCAGAAAAAGAGGGACACAACAGGTTCGTCCAGAACACTCGTACCTATCTAGTAAAATACATAGCGCCACATCCCAGAATTCAATAAACATGAACTGTGAAACTATGAAATGTGAAGACTAGGAGAGAACATGACCTCCACATATAACATTCATGCAATTTGTTAAAAGAATACATGAAAAGCATATACATATATGTTTGCCCATTAACACAGTTACTAATTTTAGGCAGTTTCATAACTTACTAATTTGTCTACATCTTTCAACTTCCATGCAACATCAAGGACTTTATTTTAAAAACAAATCTGTTTCCCAACTACACAGTTTAGTTACACTACAACAAACAAAACAAAAGAAACAAATAGATTTATGTTCAAATGTTCAATTCTACAAATTAACTGATTATACAAACATTGTTCCAACATAATCATTCAAAATTACTACCACAGAGCATTGTAAAATAAAATGGAAATCAGTGAATGAATTAGGCATGTGCATGTAGCATTAGTTACTGTAAACAAACCAAAAGACATCCCCCATGACTGGGGAAATCAGGGTCAATATGATACAATACCCAGTTACTAATCTGACACCCTGCAAGTACACAGTGACTCATGCAGCTACTCAGCCAGGAATCCAGCATACAGACCAAGATGAATACCTAAATGATTGCAGATTGTTTTGACAACACTGTACCACCTGCAATAGTTATTTAGAACCAGCTGGGAACTCACATCTTGAAGCCATGTGACTATTACAAGGCCTCATTAAGTGATGTTTGTCACTTCATTTAGAGCACAGGACTGTTGGAGGGTGAGATTCTTGAAAGGGTATTCACACACATAAAGACAGTTTCAGTGCAGCCACCTATGGCTTCAGCTGTAATGTTATGTAAGGCATCATCAAAGCATTGCCATGGGCAGACACGAAAATGATGAAGGAAACACAGTCAGGATAACCAGTCCCTTAGATGTGAGTCAAACACAGGACCTTCTAAACGGGACCACTAACCACTCAACAATGGTGTTCACTTATAAAATACTCACAAATAGAAAAGTCAACATTACTTTTCAAGCATTACACAGACCATGATTCTAGACCTGGCTTCTTGGTGGTAAAAGTAAAAAGGTAAAGCTATCCCTGTACCAGGCCATAACGCCCATAGGGTTGTGAGACATCGAGGGACCCACATTATCTAGACAATCGGCTCACAGATGGCGGTGAGGTTAAGTAAAGCTATCCCTGTACCAGGCCGTGAAGGCCCATAGGGTTGTGAGACATCGAGGGTCCCACATTATCTAGACAATCGGCTCACAGATGGTGGTAAGGTTGTCAGCCTTACGCGCTGGCCATGCTTTACTCCCCAGGAAAATTATTTAATTAATTCCTGGTACTCATTTCTGTTAGAGGCTGAGTCAACCCCAGGGTCATAATGCGGTTGGAAGGATTAGGTCAATTGAAAAAAATCCAATGACCTCATGGGGACTTGAACCCGTGACCTTCCGGCTTGTAGCATAGAGCCTCAACCAGCTACGCTTCTTGGTGGTGCATTAAGAAAAGTGAGAAACATGGCAAGAAGTAGTAGGCCAGGCCAGTGGCAGGAGCTGCAATGCAGGAGGGAGGGTGACACACTATAAGTAAGGCCCTGCTATAAACATACGCATCCTAAAATCCTTATCTCAGTTGGTGGACTCGACCATATCCACTGTACATTCACCTGAGAATGACCAGGTCTAAAAACACAGAGAGTATGTCTGAACATGGTGTCTCTTACCTATATACTGGGACAGGAAAACCTTGACCAGGGCACAAACTGACCACCCTCCCCCCCGCCATGATCTCCTTAACATCAATTGTTTTACTTGTCACTCTTGGACGCACAGCTCCGTTTGGTTCTGAAAACAGATTTCTGTCTTCTAACCACAGTTGAGTCAAAGAGAAAAAATGACACAGATCATGGGGGTAAGAGCTAGGTGCCTATGCTCCACTTACTCTGCATGGTCAGCAGACGGGGACGTAGCAGCCAGGAAAATGGGTGGAGGGAAAATCTGTGTTGATTCTTTCACTGACTCATCTACAGCTTGAAAACTCTGAAATTGTATACAGAAATTTTGAGAAGTCTAAGTAGAATGTCAACAGATCAACTGAAATTCTGTGCTCCATGGCACATGGAGAGAAGTAACGCCTATGCAGGTGGGTGGGGGAAAAGCTGTGTCGATTCTTTCACTGACTCATGTATAGTTTGAAATCTCTGCGTTCCATTTAAACCTCCACAGAGCATCAATATTTAAATATAATTTCTAGGCTCTAAGATCTGCTAAGGAAAGTAGCTGCTAAGCAGAGCTGTGTTTAATTTTTTGTTTAATTGACTATCTCCAGAAAAACATAAGATCAAAATCAGAATAGGTTAGGAAACACTTCATGTTGAAGGCAAAAAGAAAATTGGAGGAAAATGAAGAGAAGGAACTTCAGGAAATGGACATGTTTGGTTACTAAATAACCCACTCAAAAATAAAATCAAAGGAAGATGACCTATATGAGATCTGAGGTTCTCACAGCAGTGATTATCAAGCTTGCAGTATTCAAAGATGTGATGACCTGCAGATTGGCAGGCAGATTATAATATTCCAGTTGCTCATTGACTGGACTGGAGTGACAGTGATCACTCTTACACTCTGAAGACAGAGGAAACAGTATCCATCTACATAACTAAACAGCATCACATCTCAGTAGGCTTTGAACTGAATATTAATCATCCTTCACTCATACTCTGACTGCAGTAATCACAACAAACATTCCCTTTCTCAGTGATGATACTCGCCTAATGTTAGGGACAGGATATGCCTGGCTCAAACACAGCAGAGTCCCTGGGTGGCCAAAGTCCAGTGTCTTTTCTTGAAGCCTACCGCCAGCTACCTTGGGAGCTACACTACTTGTCGGTTCTTGAAAATTACAAAAATAAAAGATTCCAACATGTTTATACAAACAAAAATGTGTGCCAGATTTTTGGTTCTCACAGCAGTGACTATTAAGACTGTTGTCTTTTGGGGTGTACTCAATGTGGTCTGGAAAAGCCCAATGTTTTGGAAGAACATAACTCCGACATTACTGCTGAAGAGTAAAATCAAGCAAGAGGCTAGCGAGAAATAGGCAGTAAGCAAAGGTATGCTTGCCAACTGCATCTTGCTGGTTTCTTGCTTGGATTACTTACTCTTTGAAGCAGAAGACAGAAGCGATTCCTCGAAACTGTCA